TATATGCAAGTACATATATAGTATATATTAGTAATTCAAGATTGAATTATTTAAGCAACGAAGATCCAGCTTCGACCGTAATAGGCATTTTTAATTTAGTATTTTAATCTAGTATTTTTTTATGTGGATATTAATTTTCTTATCGTAAATTTTGATTATTTAATACAATATTTAATATTTTTATACTTAAAAGTACTTTCACAAATCAAACGAAAGTTCAAATTGTTACAAAGTATATTTATTAATAATTTGTTGCACTTATTATGTATTAAACTTAATATGATATTAACAATATCAAAGACATATTAAAGTTAAACTGAAACAATAAATCACAGTAATGAACATATAAAAATTCAAATTATAAACAAAAATAAACAAATTATAAAAATCTTTTGGAAATGAAACTTTTTACTTAACGCTAAACTAACAGAAATAAATATTATCCGTCTCTATAACAAAAATAAGTCATCTTAATTAAAGTAAGGAAAATCTTCAGAATTGTTAACTAAATTATCAGATCTGTTGCTTTCGTTTTCAGTCCTGTCCTAGTTTTGAATTTTTCAACCTTTTCTATTGCTTTCAAAAAATCTTTCTTGCCGAGCAGAAATTTATAGAAATCGACACAACTCATATCTTTAAAATTATATCTTATTTGAATCAGTGAGGAGACAGTGTGTGTGATCCCAACAAATTTCTTTCTTTCGTCCATTGTTGTACAATTAGTGAAAACATCCTCTTCACGTTTGCATTATGTGCTGGTATGCAGAAAAAATACCGTGCTATATCTTTAATAATTCGGTATATGTATGAGCACTCGGAGTTTTAAAAAATTTAAGCCAAAGTTTACGAGTACAATGAAAAACCATACAAAATCCGGCCGGACACTCCCCGACACCTTCAAAACTAGGACAAATCCGGGAAAATCCGGACGGATGGCAACCCTATTGAGTCAAGCACAATATAATTTTCTAAAGTTGTAAATAAAATTTCTAACCAGAAATTATCACGCGCACAATTATATTGACTCTTGAGCACTGTCGTTGTATTTTGTAGTTGCACGAGGGACTTTCTAATCTTCGATAACGAATGCTCTAAAGATAGTAGGAACATGAAACGATTTCCTTAGAAATATTTTAAGTAATTAATAATTTTATATCTTTCGCGCACACATAATTTTTCTTTTATCATAAACATTCAATACTATCATTTTTCTATAAACGCATAAAAATGGCATCGAAAATCAATGTAACGCGAGATTCCGAAGATGTTTACGTTTATAATAGTGCGCGAGCAATTGGTTTAAAGCGGAAATCAAACGTAAAAGAATATCCATTTAGTCGGATTACACGTTTCTCCGACACGCAATAATGACGATATGCCGTTTGTAACAGTTTTCGACGTGTACCAACAACGCGATCTCCGGTAGTGGATTGCATACCTATCCTAGATCTGGAAAAATCTAGTCCGCTGTATTTACGGGAAAAGCCAGAATGACTTGGTTTCTCGCGTGAAACTCGGATGGCGTGACGTTATTTGTATTTGTGTTCTTCGACGTACGTCGCCGTATCATATGTCGATGAGCTTAATCTAGCGGTAAATATGAAACGCGTATCATAAGATGAGACCCTCGCGTCCCTCGCGGAAATGTTAATTAAAATTAACGATGGTCGAAAAACATCGCTTTCCAAATACCGGTGATAATCGAGTTATCCAAGCGTTGAAACGCACCGCTCCCTAAATGTATCTCTTTGGATTGCGATTGTTCCGTTCTTCTTCCTGCTGTGCCACTCGAAGAAAGTTTTAACACGATGTGTATGTGTGTTGTGTGAGATTGCTCCACAATTTTAAAAACTGTACTTCCTATTCAAGCATGTAGACATTTTAATTAGCGTGCGAAAACAGGAACAAGCTAATTTTCAATTTATGTTTGTTAACTTTGTCAAAATTATAACGGATTATATAACGGAAGCGAAATAATTTTGTAATTCTTATTATACACACACACACACACACACACACACATATATATATATATATATATATATATAATTTGTGTTAATTTCTTAGACGTGTAACTATACAGCATGTCAAAACAAAATTCACTAAATGAGCATTGAAAAAGAAATCGTATACAAAAATGCATTATAAATTTGTATGATTCCGACGATTATTCTCGGACAGGAGAAAGTATATGTGGAAATGTATGAATTGTTTCTAAAAAGATCATTCCCATTTCAGATGGAGAATCGTTAACCAAATTAAGTTCCGCATTTATCTTCGAGTAAAAGTAACATGGATTTTACATATGATATTTATAAACTATAAATATTTCTGAAATAAATACTTTATAACTATTTTAAACCGAATATAATCGACAAAAGTTAATGACAATCTAATAATTACATTTTTTCAAAGAATAAATAACGATTTTCTAGAAAAAAATAACTATGTTTATTGCGATAAAAACATACAAAACATATGTTTTTCTTATTGTATATCACTGCGTGATGCCAGCAATTACGCGATGTGAGAAATTGCGATGCGCCTCAAGTTACATTTACAGGCAGTAACACGAATCTATATCCTTTTCCGTTTTCAGAAAGTAGGGGAGGAGGGAGGACAAGCACGCAATATATTATATTTATTTATTTTTAAACGCGTTCATTCAGCGACGATCGTATTATGGTTCTCTTTTACCATCATTGCTTCCATTCACGAATTTATAATTGTAGAGATATTTAATTATTAAAAGACGTTAGCAAATTTTTTTTATAATCAATAAAAATATTAAGTACACTCGGAGACACTTAACGTTCCGCATTGTAGAAATGCAGTCTGGCGTTACAAGATATTTCAAATCAGCGAGCATGCACGTGTTTTTCTACACGCGCGCACGCACAGGAACGTTGTATAATTTTGTGATGAAAAAAAAGAAGCAAATCAGCGTCATGTGTTATAAATATCAACTGTGCGTGTGATTTCAAATAACATAAGAATTAATTAAACTTAGCACTCGTTAAATTTCAAGAGCAATTATTATTAATCATTCTTATTTTTTAAATTAATGTAATTTTTTGTGTAAAAGATAGAATTCTGAATTTTTTTAACTTTTCAATAATTATGTCCTTTATACTGATATGAAATATTTGGTCTTTCATCACTTTCTTTAATTATTTTCATAATATATTCGCTTGTGTGTGTGTGTGTGTGTGTGTGTGTGTGTGTGTGTGTGTGTGTGTGTGTGTGTGTGTGTATGTGGTGCGTTTAAAGTCGCTTTCACGATTTCTGGTTAACTTAATTGATCAAATATTCTATTGGAACTGATCAATCGCTTAAGACTTAAGCGAATTGGTCAGTTTCGATAGAGAATTTGTCGTTAAGTAGAATTAATATTTAACAGACCGATCAAGCTAATTGAAGATGGTGAAACCAACTCTTAATGAATAAGAAACGTTGGAACTTTTGTATTAATGTTTTTACAAACGTATTTCCATCATTACATATACTTTAATGATTTTTAGTAATGGTGCGATCAATTAAAAAATTTTAAATATATGAATAAGAAGTATTTTTTTTAACACACCTTAACAATTATAAACTACTTATTTCTTTAGCAGTGCCGTTAACGACCAGCTAGCGAACTCATGCCGAATGTGTTTCTTCTCTCAGTTTCACGATCGTGAAACGGATCAAAACTTCATAGCCAGACGAGAAAAAACGTATCAACCAGTGGTCCTTAGATACATACAGCGCGCTTGAACGTTTTGCACAGCTCAGGGATTGAACCAACAAAAAATACGTATGCATACATGTACACATTGATGGTCCTGTTAATGGGTCGGCTTGTTGACGTATACAGGATATTAAAAAAAAAGATTCAAGACTTTACAGACGTATAGTGTCCACTAAGAAAAATAAAAAAATGCTTAATCAGCATAAAAAATTAAACATATCAAACATAGGAATGATTTTTTTTCAGTTTTAATAATAGCAACAGTGACTTGCTTGCATTTTTATTTTTACCTTGCTGATATATTTTGTAAAAGAATATATCGGAATATATGTATGTAAGAATCATACAAACATTAAGATCCAGCTAGGCCGTTTAAGGCTTTGATTTCTATAGTTTGTGTTGTATCAAAATATTTCCGATATGAAATATTTCACAAAATGGTCAATCTATGACGAGTCTAATGTTTTTATATATAAGAAATTATTGGACTTGATTTGTATAAAAAATAGAATCATATGGACTATCACTATCCTGCTCTTTAACGTTCCGTATTAAATCGCGCGATAAAAATATACGTGGCCCATTCTCGACACAACTAAAAACAGTGCGATTGAATACGTCTTACGTGAGAATAGGGTGTGCTGAAGTAATTAACTTGACTTATATTAATCAATTAACATAATCGGTGTATCCTATTTAACGAGAACGAGGAACCAGCCAGGAAAGAATTTCACGGTGATATTCACACGAGTTACTTTTATCTGTACGCCTGGAATTTCATCTCGTTGATCTAAGAAATGGAATAAGTAGACGCCTTACGATCGAAGAGAAATCTTGTTAACGCGCATCAAAGCATTCAAAACAACTTTTAAAAGCGAGCGTTTCGATTTCGTGGGAAAAATTCGAAAGTCGAAATGATTTTTGTACGATCCAGATTTCGAACAGCGTATCTCTCTTTGCTTTCCTCTCCACCTTCTTTATTACTTAGCAACTTATCCTCAGACTATGATATATAAATCAGAGAGATGATGGATTTTTTGCTATAAAAAATGTTTTCTTATTTCTATGAAAATACAAGAACATTATACTTAATAAATAATATTATTACTTTGAATGTAGCAATTTTTAAAAGGGGTAATTTCTTATATTATTATAAGATCTCTTAAAATTCCATACTGTCGGCTGAAACTAAAAGCAAACGTGCTAGAAGTTACGATTACTAATTGTACAAAAATTGTATAAAAACTAATTATTTAATATGATGTACTTACTTTTTCCTTTTAATCGTTGTTCCCGTCGCTCAGCTTCTAAATGTCGTAAAAATTCTTGGAAAACATGCAGCGACTTATTCAAGCTCGTTTTCTTGTAATCTTTAATTCGTTTTTTATTTAACTCATATGTTTCTTCTTCAGCCTTATCCTTCACGTCATACGCATTAATTTCTTCTATTAGTGTCATTATTGTAGGGACCTTGTCAGGATGAAATTTATCTACTGCACTCGCATTGAATGGTATACAAATTTTACCAGTCTTTGGATGGATGCAAAAAGGAGATTTTAACAAGTGATTTAAGCCTTTACTAACATTTATGTCTAATCTCGGATATGAGTACTGCAATTTTATCTCCTCGATTAAATGTCGGTATAAATACCATTTTCGGTCCCCCTGAACAAAATCAATTAAATAACTTCAATGTTTTAAATTAAAATACAATGATATAAAGTGAAATTGTTAGAAATATAATCATACCCCCGTTCGTTTAGATGCAACATATTGTAAAAATGCATTCCACCTTTCTTCGCTGGTACTTTCTTTATCGAACAATACCTTCATTTCTTGTCTGTCTTCGTCATTAGGTAGTATTGGCAGAAACTTTTCGATTCCTTCTTCCGTGCCTAACATATTCTGCTCTTTCACGCACATTTCGACAAAAACAGGATCGATTATATCGAGAGCACGCCTGTAATATATAACGTTCTCTTTATACATTCTTGATTTCTATTTAAATTATTATTACAAACCCTATGAAACCTACTTAATAGAATGATGAATTTTATCGCCGGTAAGATGTACTTTCTTTTTCATGAATTCACCTCCGCCTATGATTTGTAAATATTCGGCAACTGCTGCTCGTACTTGCCCTGATAAAGAGCGTGCTGCAGGGTCACATACCCAACAGTGAATACCTCTTCTGCCAGAGAATACCCATAAAAGATGTTTATATCCAAAATCCACTGTGTATATATATATATATGTATATAAAAGCAAATAATCATTTCAAGACATTAAAGACATATAGTGATAGTATAAAGATATATGAAGAGTAGACTTTAAAAATACGTTTTGTCTAAAATTTATAATTTTCAAGAAACAAGAAAGAAATCCACAAGGAAACCACGCACCTTCGAGAAAATAACAATTTGCCAATCAGCAGAATGTAAAATGTTAAACAAAATTGCTAAACAATTTCTAATAATGTTAAACAAATGCAATCTGTTTGTCTTGAGTTAAAGGACATAACACACATCAAATGTCCAGATTTTTTTGCAGTATAAAAATTGACGCTGAAAAAAATGCTTTTTAAACATTCCAAAGTAGGTAAATATGCGTCTTCCATTATTTTTTGAACACTATGCCATCTTTAACCAAAAAAAAATGATATTTTGGACTTTCAAAATGCATTTCGAAAGTCTGCACTTCATAATAAGTATAGATATCTTACATCTTAGCGCACTGTCCAATATCTTACAGGCAAGTGACATGAATTTCCAACACTTGCCACAAATGTCTGCCCCTTTGCAACATGTTCTTACTTCGTCATAATCTGTCATATCTATATCAAATACCAATTCTCTCTCTACTGGCTGAAAATTAGGACTTCTTCTTTGATTTTTCGGCCTAAAATTAAATGCTTAATTTTATTCACTCATTATGTTTATAACAGATTAACTGCGGATTTTACTCGGTTTTTATTGACACTCTATTATTAAATTATATCAGTAAGTTCTACTGTTAGAATGCAAGCTCAATGTCGTTGCAGTTATTTTTAATTTATGCATTATTCTATTCAAAATTTACTGGCAAATTACTAGTATGCTGTTAACATTTTGCTTAGAATTAAAGTCTAATTGGCCTTCTACAATAAGCCGTAAGTCAGAACGTCAGAAGTCTTAACCAGTCTTAACCAAGTTGTTCAAGTTGGCTATTGGCCAACTTCACCAATTATGATTTAAGATTGCTTAGAACTTCTGACTTGCGGCTTATTGTAGAAGGCCCATTATACAGTGATTAGTTATGTTAGATCATAGAGGTAATATCACTTAAGGGCCTTCTACAATAAGCCATTAGTCATAAATCAGAAGTCAGAAACCAAAAATTAACCAATCACAGTTGTCATTTTTTAACTTCTGACTTCTGATTTATGACTAATGGCTTATTGTAGAAGGCCTATTAAAATTACACTTAAAACGGTAATGATTAAAATTAAAAATTTCAAAATTATAGACATTAAAAAAAAATCCTAGCTTTACAAAAGAATTTATTAATAAGAATAACACAATCTGGAAATTTCGTACAGTCAATTGTCATATACTTTACTGGACATTATAAACTGCTCCTATATCTATTTTATGTGGTAGCACTCTTTTAATTTCATCTGACAATCCTTTTTGGTCGTTGAAAGATTGATAACGTATATAAATATCATTTGAGAGAGTAAATGAGAATTCTCTCTTGCTAAAAGTTACCGCTAAAGAGAAAAATAAAAGATGTAATATATTATTAGATATACATACATTAAATATATGTTAAATATATAGAGGGACAATAAAAATCTTACCATTTCCATAACTTAACCATCTATGATAGTCGGCAAAAGGAAACAATCTCGAATAATAAACTGGTAATAAATCCAACAAATCAGAAACATCACCCATTTTAACGTTATTAACAATACAAATATAAGGTTATAAACATGTAAGTTCAAAATATGCCAATTGCTACTATAGATTTCTCAACTATTGAATATATCACTTCAACAACGTTACATATACATATATCTAAAATGTTAGAAAAATGTAAACTCGTTTCAACGCGCAACGATCAAGTTACATGTGAAGACCATTATGACGTTCAATTTCACAGCAGAAAAATGGCGCGAAATTCATAGAGTCGGATTAGGTTAAGTTTAGCCACCGACGAGATAACTATTAGGCTGGATACCCATGAGGTGTATTTACCGCGTATCGCATAACCGCGTAACCTTTGACTATATACCTCTGGACTGCTGGTTACCCCCACTTTTCCTACCTTTTCCATAAGATAGAAAGAGAGGACCGTGTATCCAAGATCTCAGAGCCATCAGGTCCGGAAGTTGGCCAAATCAAGAACTAACTAGCTGCATTTTAAGTAAGAATCGGTACGAATAACTCCGAATAAATAATTGAAGTGATCCAGAAGTACTGCTAAATAAAAAATGGTTCGTTCTTGTTTTGCTAAATTATGTAATAATACCAGATACAAAGCTGTAGGAGTAATTAAATGTGATGCGGGAAAAATAGATTTAAAATCAATTCGAAAAAGGAACCAAATTTAATATATAATAAAATAAAATACATATTACAGTACAATAAAATATACATGAAAAGAAACACGGTAGGACAAATCTAAATAAAATATATCTGAAGAAAATAATATATATAAGATATATA